TATGTTAACTAAATTGAATTTAAATAAAAAATTTTTAAAAAACAATTGGATAAAATTTAGGGAAATAGTTATTCTTATTCACTGCTGGTGGAGGTGTAAACTGAATTAGTCTACAAGGCAATTTGGCATTAAATATTAAAATTTCAAAATGTGCTTTCTTTGAGCTACCTATTTCACTTTTCCATATTTGTCTTACAGAAATATTTTAGCATATGCACAAAAAATGTATGCATAAGGATTTTCACTGCAGCACTGTTAATAGTAAGAAAAAATAACACTCTAATAAAGATTGAAAACAATATATATTTATCAATAGGTGACTGTATCAATAGTTAACTATAGTACACTCAGTCAATGGAATACTATACAGTACATAAAATAAATGACATAGATTTATATATACTGACATGGAAAGATCTTCAAGCATGGAAAGTGAATAAAGCAATTAACAGAACAATACACAAAATAAGGTGCCATTTATATCTTTAAAAAGTAAAAAATACAAAACAAAGCTATGTATTTCTATATGTGTACATGAATGTAAGAGGAACTTTAAATTCATCTGTTTGTTTTGCAATAATGTACTCATTCATGTGTAATTAGGAAAACCTTTTTAAAATGAAAAAAAGAACAAAAACAAAACTAATTACATGTTAAAGAAAGGAATGTTTCATGTTGTCATTAAAATGATGTTATAAAATAAAATGTTATAGACAAATACTTAATTACATGGCAAATATTTACTAGGTTATTAAATAATCACATGCTATGATAATATTTTTGTTTAAAACTATAAATACATATATAATGCATAGTAAAAGGCTGGGAGGACAAAACTAAAGCATTAATAGTGGATCTCTCCATGTGGTGGCATTACAAGTTTTTTATCTTTTGGTATTTTCTTTATACTTTCATATATTTTCTGAATATTCTACAATAAGAAATAGAAGTTGTGTGTGTGTGTGTGTGTGTGTGTGTGTGTGTAGGGGGATGTTGGTTGGAATTAAGACTATAAAAGGAGTGCAATTGGCAAGAAAACTGAAGACTGCTACAGATTGAAATTATAATGAAGATCGTGGGGTATGTGGGATTTTAGAATTAGGAGTTGGAAAACTAGACTTTATGGGGCCTAGGAATTAACAGTAGAAATGTGGGGGTTAAAACTAGGTGTAGAGCCCATGGATTATTAGAATTAATGCAGATGCTGTGAGATATTGGAATTGGAGTCAAAGGCCTTACTAAATTAAAAAGTTTTTTGACGACTATAATAGTGTTGGTGAGGATATGGGAATATCCAAATAAACTGGAATTCTTACATATTTCTGGTGGGACTTTATATTGTTACAACTGTTCTGGAAAGCCTGTCATGTGTTTTTTGGGAGTAGTGACCTTTTGACCCTATCTACTCCATTTCTACAAATTTCTTCTTGAGAGAAATCTTAGAAATATGCACGTATTTAGTTACATCAAAGTTCATGTCCGTATTTCTTTTAATAAAAAAAAGACCTAAACATGGAGTCTTGGTTAAATAATTAACATTAATGGAGTAACACTCACCCATTAAAAATAACACTGTAAAAATATGGATCAATCTCTCTCAAAAGGGGCCTCCATAAAGCCGAGATCATACACAAAATTTTTGTGTAAATATATATTTGGCGGGCAGTGGATCCATTCATCAGATTCGCAATTCGGGGCATGAACCACTGTTCTGTAGGGTTAGAATTAAAACTGGAAGGTGTAATTACAGTTTTTATTTCCTCTATGTTTCAAGAGTACTTTGGATAGTGCTTTTGTCTTTATACTTTAAAATACTGAATTAATACATGATTTTTTTTTAAAAATTCAAACCTTACCGAAGTATCTAAAATTGCAATTCAAAGCTCCCCTCTCCTCTCCACCTCTAATCTCATTCTGCAACCCAGATGAAGCACAGTTAATAGTTAGGGGTATCTCCTACAAAATTCTTTTTATTCCTATGCATTTACAGGTGCAAATCCTCTATAAACTCTTTGCCAGTTGCACTACCACCCCAAATAATACCAAGGAGAACAATAAAGAGAATGTTTGTTGAGAGCTTACTATGTGCCTGGAGTAAGTGTTCTAAGGGTTTGCCGGGGGATTCACTGTAGTTGGCGTCCCCGTCGTCTCCAGCCCTCCACACCGTGTCCCTGCTTGTCCTCTTGCCCCCCATTCTTCACAAAGCTGCGGGAGAGATTAATTTTTAAACGTGAATCAAATCAAATCACGTCACCCTTCAGTGGCTCCCATCGTGCCTCGAATCAAATCCAATTCCTTAGCGACCCTACTATCCTCTACCGTTGAGTATGTTGGACCCGGAATAGCTCAGGCGCAGCCCCTAAAGGGGACTCTGCTCCACCACGGAGGGAGTGCCCTCCCGAGGGGCAGGGGCGGGGCTTCTCAAGCGGCGGGGGTGGAGCCTCAGATCGGGTGTGAGGAGAGCCGGAGGGGTAGGTTTTTCGCGGAGGGCGAGCGAGGGGAGCAAGGCTGAAGCAGGGCCGCGGACCCGGCGCGCTCCTGCGGGCCCCGCAGAGCTACTGCCACCGAGGTGAGCGTCTTCCCCCGGGCTAGGGGGCGGGCTCTGCTCGCGAGGCCGTCCTCGGCTCCTCGTGGAGGGTTGCTCCCACGGGACTCTGCGCGGAGTCGTGGAGGTGGCGGCCTTGGGGAGCCAGCCGGAGAGGCTGGTGTAGGGGCCCGGCGGCCTGCCCCAGCCCTCCCTCAACCCCGCCTTCTCTCCCCTCCCCCAGGCCTCGGCCGGCGCCAGCAGAAAGCTAGCCGCATCTTCAGGGGCAGCGGGGCGGCAGGCAGCGCGGCGGGAGAGCGGCTGACAGTGCTGACAGTGGGGATGCGAGGTACCGGCGTTAGTCGTGGCCAAGTGGCCCTAGCGAGGGAGTAGAGGCCGGGCCTTCGGCGTTTCTCTCACAGGTTCTCGGAAGGCGGCCTCAGAGGAGGGGGAAGGTGAGGGGCCGGCAGGCAGGCTTCGCGGGTAACTACTAGGTGTTGTATATGTATGTTTTGGTATCTAAATGGTACTACACACACACACGCACAAACATTCATTTCGACTAATTGCTTTTTAAAAACTTAATATGTCTTGTAGATCTTCATATATCAGGGAATCTAAATTTATCTCATTTATAAACAGCTGCATTGTACGATTGTACTACAGTTTATTTAACCATTTCCCGATTGATGTACATTAGCTTGTTTCCCTTTGAAGGGGGGGAAGGGGGCTATTACAAGCAATGCTATAATGAATGGGTTTGTATATATACGTTTCATGCACATGTATGAGTATTTCCGTAGGAGAAATTCTTAGAAGAGTAATCGCTCCTCAAAGTGTATATGCATTTTGAATTTTGATAGATTTGTCCAAATTGCCTTCCCAAAAGGCTATACTGATTTACACTCTCCAATGTTGTGCAATATTGCCCATTTTTTCACAGTTGTGCCAACATGAATTATTATCAATCTTTGATAATTTGGGCCAATTTGAAGCGCAAAAAATGGTATGTCATTGTTTTCATTTGCATTTCTCTGATTACCAGTGAAATTGAACATATTTTTTATTTGTCCGATTACAAAAGTAAATAGGCAAATATGAAATATCTATAAGCAATAAGCATTTCAAAAATTTAATATTAATAACCCCATTCGCAGTAGCAAGAAAAATGAAAAAAAAACCTAGAACTACAAAACTTTATTGAGGTATATAATAGAAGAATGTTTGCATACATGGAGAAGGGATACCATGCTTCTTGATAAGAAGGCTCAATTTTGTAGTGATGCCCATTTTTCATATGTTGATTTATACAGTTGATGAAATTTCAATAAATATGCCAAGTTTTTGGAACTTAATGATTCTAAAGTTCATCCAGAAAAAAGATGGCTAAGAATAACCGAGAAAATATTTTAAAAGATAAGTAAAGATGGGGGTATTTGTACTACCAGCTATTAAAATGTACTCTAAAGGAAAAATATTTAAATTAGAATAGACAGAACAATGCATTAGAATAGAAAAGCCCACAAATCGAGCCAGATTGGATCCAAGATTTATTGGAGAAACATTGTTGGCTAGACGTGGAAAAACTGCCATATTAAAAACTGCAAGCACGCAACCCCCCCCCACCCCCAGCTTGAATTTTCCTTTGAGGACAGACTCCTTTGTTTGGCGAAAACCACTTTATTGGATCTTTTGGTTATGCCAAGGTAAAGCGTCAGGAGTTAAAAATTAGTGGCTTTAGAGCTAGAACTAACGATAGAGTGAGCCCTTCGTTACATTAAGATGGATTCAGTTTAGCCTGCAGTGCGGCGAGGGAAGGAGTCAGGATACTATGTCTTAAAGATTTTTTTCCCCGATCTAATGGGCAAAAATTGTTATGTCATTGTTTTCATTTGCATTTGCGAGCTTATTGTGAGACTGAACGTCTTTTATGTGTTAGTCCAGGATAATATGTGATTACTGGAGGCAGGTAACAATGGGAGACCCATTGCTCCTCTTCCAGAACGGAGTTTGGCTAATTGGTACAGCTCTGCCCGGAAGCGTGAGAATAAACAGGTTGACTTTTTAAATTTTCCTCAAGCACTAGGCTCTAGACACCTTAGATCGGGGGCGGAGGCAGTTTTCAGGACATGGCCGAGATTTGGCGCTGAGCTGTGTCATCGCGAGGTTTGGCAGCAAGCTCCGCAGTGGGTCGGAAACCTCGTGGTAGCCGAGATCCCTGCAGGACGGGAGGTTCCTCCCTTCCCCCGAAAAACTCCCAGTCATTTTCATGAAACCCCGCCTCTCTCCTTTTTAGGAGCGTGCACTAGGTCTCGCGAGATCTAGTGTTTCCTAAAGGCGAGGCGCGGGCGGCATCCTGCGGTGAATTCGAAGGTCTCGCAGAGACTAAAACGTAATATCGCGATAGTTCTCTCGGCGCATGCGGGAGCCGGCGGCGGCAGGTTGGCTCCGCCCCTCGGTGCTTCGTGAGGTTGTGCGTCATTTGCTTTTCGCTTCGCGTAGGGTGAGAGCGGAGCCGTAGCGACTTCGGCTTTGGTGGGAGGAGGGGTCTGGGAAGGGCTGGGCTCAGGCTTTTCCCGTCCGGTAAGAGGTTCTCGCGGGATCGCGCGGAGGCAGCTGCGGTTCGGCTACGGACTGCAGCAGCCGCGGAGGCGGCAGCAGCGTCTTCGGCTCGTGCTGTTCTTAGCCCGGTGAGTTCTCGCGCGAGCGGGGTTACGTCCTCGTGGGATCCGTTGGCGGTGGCGGAGGTAGCTTGGGGTAGGGGGGGCAGTGACTAGGGTCGGTCCGCCTGCTGTTAAGATGGCGGCGGAAGCTGATGTCTGTCCGGCCAGGACCCGAGACTGAGGTGTTGGCTGTCCGCGTTTGTGACGCTTCCCAGGCACCCGACGTTAAGGAGGTGACTGTTGGCGAAACACCGAGGTGCTGGTAAGCCGAACCTGAGGCAAAGACCACGCCGTCTCTGTTTGAGGCGACACCATTTCCCGGGCCTCGGTCGCGTGTGGGCCCGCCTTTGCCCCACCAATCGGTCAACGCCTCCGTTGTTGCCACCGCAGTGGGCGGGTTGGGAAGGGGGGGAGGGAGTCCTGGAGTTAGTTAGGGAGTGGGGCTGGGGGTTAGACTGGGCGGGGGGGGAAAGGGGACCAACCTGTGACGACTGGTTCCCTCCCCAGTACCTTTTTTCAGGCCTGCCTCTGTTCTCCGCCCCTTCAGCGGCCCAAATGAATCTAGTTTTTCTTGAGGTGGGCTCCACTTTCCCAGCTGCCTTGGTCTTTGAACTGAGATTTAGGGGTTAAGCTTTGGTGTCTCTGACGTGCTCCTCCCCCTTTTTCCCTAATTCTGTCCTCATCCACATGGATATTTGAGGCTCGTATTTAAGAGGGGGAGGCAAAGCTTTCCCTGTCACCCCCTCCCCAGCCCTACTAAGGAAGAGCTTGGCCCAAGCCCCTTAGCCAGTCCTGTCTCCCTCTTCTATTGGTCCCCTTGACGCAAGGCTTGAGTAGAGCCTTTCCCGTTTCGTGCATTTACTCCATCTTTGTGGACGGAACTATACAGTAGCCTTCCGTTTCCTCAGGTCTTCACGTTTGTATGACCCTGATTCGAGTACAGGACAGATTTCTGCAACTTTGCAGACTGCTCCACCACTCTTAGATGGAACAGTGAATGGGTTGGTGGTTGGATGATTGCAGACCTCTTGTTCTTGGGGCTCTTAGCCTTCCCTTCCTCATAACGCCCCTTCCCCACCCCCCCAAAAAAAAACTAAAGAAAAGGCTGTAGAGGATAATTCTCCAGTAAACCAACTTTTTGTCCTTCTCTGTCCCCTGCCATCCCTCTTTGCAGGCTCGGGAACCGCCCCTTTTCCCTGCCTTGCTTTGAGTTCCTGAGTCCTCTTGGTCTGTGGACCTCTATCTTTGCTGCTAACCACCTCTTAACATGTTTCTCACTTAATTCTTTTATCCCCCCACACCGTGTTCTTTTTTCAAGAGCTGAAACCCCTAGAGAGGAGATACCCTCCTCTCAGGCTCCACTACATTTCCCGTCTTCCATGTGCTAGAAAATAAAATAGTTTTGATTATCTTCTGACTCTCAATCATTGCCCTGTTCTACTTTTTTCTCTTCCCTTCCCCCATTCCACCATTACTATAGATGATTCCCTATCATTTGTTTTCTTTGTAGATTACATGTTCGGCATTTTCTGTTAAACCCAATGTTGCGTAGATTGAGGAGACCTCAACATTCTCCAGTCAAGGGAGGGACCCTGGTATGGTGGAAATAACTGTGTGCTTTGGGTTCACATCAAACTTTGTGACCTTGGGCAAATTTTCAGATTCTCAGTTTTTTCATCTGTATAATAGGGATAGTAGCGCTTATAGTTGCTAGAATTAGACAATTTGTAAAGTGCCCAGCTTATGGTAGGCACACAATAAATTGTTACTTTTTCTAGGTATAAGAATAGGTTGGAAGATGGATCTGTGTCATATGGTAGTTTTATGATCTGGGAAAGAATAAGAGATTTTTATTCCTCTAAGTTTTTAGTGTGTATTTCTAGGCCAGCCCTGTCATTTTTGTAGTTTTTTCCTCCTCATGGGCCAAATTCTTTATCTCCAGTGGTTCATGATGTTTGATTGTGATTCCCACCTGTCTTAATCAACTAGTCTAGGAATTTTAGTGCAAAGTCACTATCTTGAAATGACCACTGGCCCTAAGGTTCCTGTCAAGAACCACACCCAGGTGCCTTTTAGAAGGGATGCCTCATCCCTTGCCTACTCCCTCTTTCCAATGCTTCAAAAAGAGTTTGTCCTATTATTCACTCAAAGATGAAATTCGTTGCCATGCTTTCCACAGTAATCAAGGGAACTTCTGCCAGCTAGTTTTCAGGTGTTCATACTGCTTTTCCCCTACCTCCTTTCTTTGGTTCCTCAGATCACTGTGGGGATCTGCTATTTGGCTATACCTACATAGGGTAATTCCTATCTGAGAGAATTTAGGAAAGTTGTTTGGAATACCAGGCTTCTTTCCCATAACGAATTACTGCCAGTTCTTTAATACACCACCTCCTGTTGTGTTTTGCCATTTTATATTTTTCAGCATTCTTTTTAAATAGAAGTGAGTGTATTCAGTTTGGAGGTAGTTTTTCTTACTGTTAATATTTTGATTAGACCAATATTAAACTGAACACTTTCATCTATTACTATTACCTTGGCCAGGTGATGGGGCTTGAAATAGGAATATGATGGTGAAAAATTTACCTAGGATTAAAGATTTACCATGGGTAACCATCTGGTAATTAACCATGTGGACACCAGTTTTGAGCTTTAGGGTTTGCTTTGTTCAACTTAAAGTGCTTTGGAGGTAATAGAATATTCCCTTTTTCATTGGAGGACAGGAGATCACTGTTTTGAGATACTGCCTTGGAGTTCTTTACGGTGGGTCAAGCAGTGAATCAGAAATTAAATCTTAATTTGATTCTTGTCATTCAGAACTAGAATAAACCTGGGAATGATAATCTAGGTGTGACCTAAAAGGTTTAATTTATTCTAGTAGGTCTCTAACAAGAGAGGAAGGAGTGGCAATAGCAGTCAAAAGCGTTGTCTAAGGTTCAGTGACAAAGTTCAACCTGAGTTTCCCAGGTGTTTATCAGTGGTCTCCCACTATGGCCAAAAAGCATGTGTGAAGGTGAAAAGTAGTTTTTAATGTTTTTTTCCCACAAAAAAATAATAAATTTAACATTGCCTTAGTATCAATTTATAGTGAGGATATAAAATTGTAATTACTTTCCCCTATCATTTCATTTGGGTTGAGGACTGAGTTGAGTTTTCAGGGGTGTTGTCTAAATGTCAGAATAGAATAATTGGTTTGGCTGTTGGTTCTGAATTCTTGTTACTGCTTAAAGCAGGTCCTTAAAAATGCAAATTGATATGTGAGGGCTATTGCTTAAGAAATAATAACTGTGATCATGTTTGAACATTGATATAATGGTAAACTCCCCCACACCCTAATAAATATGTTTCTTTTTCTCCCCACCTTTTTTTTTTGTAGGTCCTCCAATAGTCTGACCTGAGTGGGTTAGTACTCCAGAGGAACTAGCAGACCAACTTGGTCAGGAAGGTTCAGGAAGCTGTTGGAGAAGTGTTGGGATTTCCCACCAGGATGAGTATGATTGGCTGTGATTTTAGGTTAGTTTTTGTAGATCTTTGGGTAGTATTTGTATTTTACTTCCTGGAATGGGGCGGGGGGGGGATATGTATTTCCATTCTGTAATTGAGCTACTTTGGTTTCTTTCATTGTTTGGATCTGATGCGGCATTGGCTGCTTCTCGTGTTATTGTTTAAATAAATTCCATCTGTACATGATTTTTAAATCACCCTAAAGCACCATTCAAAAAATAAAATTGCAAGATATTATGTCTAATCAATTCTTTTTCAGAGTTGTGAAAAATATCAAACACACACAAATCAGATAGTATAATGATCCCCCTGTGTATCCATCACCAGTTTGTGGGTGTTTTTTTAAAGATTTTTATTTATTTGACAGAGAAAGAGAGAGCACAAGTAGGCAGAGTGGCAGGCAGAGGGAGAGGGAGAGGCAGTCTCTCTGCTGATCAGGGAGCCAGACGTGGGGCTCGATCCCAGGACCCCAGGATCATGACCTGAGCCGAAGGCAGCCGCTTAACCAACTGAGCCACCCAGGTGCCCCTCCATCACCAGTTTTAACAGTTACCAGCTTGTAGGCATTCTGCTTCATCTGTACTTCTACCAACTGCCCCCACCCATTATTTTGAAATAAACCCCTGCTGGGGCGCCAAATAAACCCCTGCTGTCATATTTTACTTGCAAAATATTTATATGTCTGAAAGAGAAGGGCTCTTTAAACATAACCTTAAAACCATTATCACAACTCAAAAAATTCACAGTGATTTTTGAAGATAGCAAATATGAAGCTCATGTTCATATTTTAGTTTGAATTAGGGTCCAAAGAAAATCCATTTATCACAAAGGTGGATTGATGTGTATTTCTTAAGTCTATTTTAATCTGCAGGCTCCCTCCCTTTTTTATTCTTCTGATTTATTTGTTGAAGAAATTGTTCTGCAACTTCCATCACATTTGGTGATGGTATCCCAGAAGTGGTATCTAACCCGTTCTTAGTTACGTTAAAGACCCTGGAGGACCCCCATTATAATAGAACAAAGGCAATAATCTCCTGTATCCCAGTTGGGAGTTGATACTGCTGGCCTAGGCACTATCCCAAAATAACTAGTCATGGATTCCCTTTTTTGTGGCAGAGTCTGATTTAATTGATACCTGACCTCGGTTCCATGTCTTGGCCCTGCTTACTGCTCCACATGAAAAGTAGGCCTCCTTATGGAAGAAGCTAATGTTTCCTAGATAATGACCTAAGTATGCCTTTGGGATTTTTCATGGTTTCAATTTCCTTAGGTGGTTTAGTTATTTTTATACTATCTTACAATGTTGCTTTTTATTCTTTTGATGTTGGTATCTCAGCTGCTCTGACCCATAACTTCTAAGCTATTAAGACTTAGTGATGAGTTCTTTGACTATAATACAATTTTTGAAATGGCAGTACTAAATTTTTGAGAGCTTCCACTTACATCCTGATTTTCAGCTATTAATATGCAGCCATAGTTTTTCTGTTGTTATTTTTCATTTTCTTTTTTTTTTTTTAAGATTTTTTTATTTATTTGATAGAGACACAGCGAGAGAGGGAACACAAGCAGGGGGAGTGGGAGAGGGAGAAGCAGGCTTCCCACTGAGCAGGGAGCCCGATGCGGGGCTCGATCCCAGGACCCTGGAATCATGACCTGAGCCAAAGGCAGACACTTAACGACTGAGCCACCCAGGCGCCCCTCATTTTATTTCTTTTGGAAATGGTGATCCACGGCATAAAGTCCTTTAAACTGTTCATTTCTTTCCTTGTGCAGAATTGTTTATCTGGGCATCTACTGTATGTCCCTTCCATAGTCAAAACCTGGGAATGGAAGTTGGACATACAGGCTCCAGCCAGCCTTTGACTTAAGCACAAATGTGGGCAGAGCAAGGCCACTTGTGCCTACCTTTAAAATGAGAGCGATTCCAAGTTGAGAGAGGGTAGAGGTCATCATGAATGAAAGTTTTTGAGGTATTTAGATGAAACATGATTTTGAATCACCAGTGCTGTGGATCATGAATTCAGGGTTTTCAGTTCTTTATTCATTAATGGAGAAATCAGATTGCTAGTTGAAAAGTGACTATTTAAAAGAAGTGATTTCTTGGGAATTCCAGTGAAGTCCATTCATTCAACAAAAAATTTTTGAGCATTGAATATCATGGTTAGATATTTACTCCTGTCTTCAGTTTTCTGTAGTTATTGGGAAGTTTGAACAAGGTCACTACACCTTCTAATCCAGAGTTTTGAATCTGGGGTAACTAGATTTTTGGAACAGAGCTTTATGCAGTAGGCATTTCAATATTTGAATTGTTTCCAGAGTTCTTAACAGCTACAAGTTTATAATGGAAATGCTGTTGGTTTTTTTCTCTTTTGTTGTGTTTTCAACCATGGGTTCAAAGTATTATTGAAATGCCAAACTTGGTTGCTTTGAAAATGTGTGCCCTTCACATTCCAGGTTACATTTCCTGCTGTTAACATTAAGTTGTTAAAATCTGATGTGTAGCTGTAACCATATCAGGCTGCTTTGCAATGATCTCACTATCTATAAGGTTGATAGTCCCAAGTACTTGGGCTCTGGGTGTTTTGCTGTATTGTTCTCTGACTTGTTTCCTCAATGACTGGTTACCAGATGTTTATATGTTAATGTCAGGGATAATTCAGCTCAGAAGATTCTTTGGAAGCCCTCTCATTTGATGTGTCATAGGGGTTGAGTTGCTAAAACTTGATGTACTTGTTAACCAGCTTGGTCTTCTGGTTATAGAAATGCTTTCAGATAGTGTGAAAGAGTGGCTCTCTATGAGTAAAACAACTGTAGGTTTTGTTTGGGCTGTTAATACTGAGTGTTTTCACATTTTAGTGCCCTTAAAAAGTTTTTAATCATTTGGCTTAAAAATTACAGTGGTGACATGGATTGATCCCAGAATGTGATTTTATAAAAAGTTGGAATTTGTTTTAGCTTCTTAATGAATATTAAATGGAGATCAGTATTGTAGATGATTCAGTCTGGATTGCTGATTGGACTAGAGGAATGTGAAAGTTCTTTTTCAACCCCTAGATTCTGACAGTATAGTGACTAAAAGGGACTAGGAGTAGGGAGATTCAAATTATTCTGGAGTGACCTTTTAGTATAATCATTTAGATTTTAAAGATTGGTAAATGTGAACATAACTGCCATGAATTTATGTACCGTCTTTAGCATAACCCAGATTTTAAGTCCTTATAATTAGATACCTGAGATAATTGCTCTGGAAATACTGGAATATACTGTATTTGCTTATGTTTTGGCATGCTTTTGGAAGATTGCTTTTTTAATGATAACATTATTTGCTGTAATTATTTTATTATTTGCCTGTGTTTATAGTGAGACGTATTTCTCCTGGTCTTGCATTTTTTTTCTTCCACTAATTCTTCATTATTGCATTCTGCCAATTGAGTTCTTATAGGTTCTTAATCTTATAGTGATTAAGAACATGGATTCTGGAGCCAGACTCCCTAGGTTCAAGTTCTGACCCCCCCCCCACTTTTTTTTTTTTTTTACCATTTGTCATCTTGTGCAAATTATTTAACCTCTGTGCCACAGTTCTTAATCTGTAAAATGCTAATAGTGTTACCTACGTCATAGGGTTTTAGAGACATTTAGCTGAGTTAATGCATATAAAGTGCTTAGAACAGTAGCTCTGAAACTTTAGGGAACGTCAGAATCACCTAGAGGGCTTGCTAAAACAATCCTGGGCTCCAGCCCCAGAGCTTCCTATCCTATAGGTCTGGGAGGGGCCTGAGAATTTGCATTTCCAGCAAGTTCCCAGGAGATGCTGATGTTGATGGTCAGGGAATCAGTTAGAATAGAACAATGCTTGGCAGAGTGTTAACTGTTCTTTTTTTTTTTTTTTTTTTTCTGGACTGTTTTCTCAGTCCCTGAGTAAAACACTTTCCAGTGCTGTTTAGTACTGCTTTGAGCTAGAAGCAGTTTTGAAATCCTTTGTTGCAGTGGTTCTCAAAATGTGGTCCCCAGATCAACAGCAGCAGCATCTGGGAACTTGTCAGAAATGCAAAATCTTGGGCTCCACCCCAGGCTTTATTTTAAAAGTGTGTCTTGGCTTAACTGGGGTGTCTTAGACTTTTTAAAACAGTTTTATTGAGATGTAATTCCCATACCATACAAGTCACCCATTTAAAGCATACAGTGGTTTTTAGTGTGTTCACAGTTGTACAACCATTACCACATCAATTTTAAAACATTTTCATCACCCCTAAAGGAAACCCAGTACCCATTAGTAGTGACTCCCCTTCTCTCTCCCAACCACCCCAGCCTTTGGCAACCATTAATTACTTGATATTTCCATGATTTGCCTAGTCTGGGCATTTCATACAAATAGAATCCTATCATACGTAAGCAGCTTTAATGTGATTAAAATGTTTTCCTTTTGTACAGATAGAATACAGATAGGGGAAACCACACCAAAACAAATTTACAGTTTAATAAATTATTTTAAGGCAACTTTTAAGGTATTTTAAGGTAACTTTCGTTACCATAACCCAACTCAAGAAATAGAACTTTGCCTGTTACACCATAAGTCCTTCCGTGTGCGCATCCCAATCACAGCATCTTCCCTCTCCAGAAAGTATCTGCTCTTCTGACTTTATAGTAATCACTTGTATTGTTCTGGTTTTATCATCCAAGTGTGCATCCCTGGACAGTATAATTTGCTTTATCTACTTTTTAAAACTTGGCGTATTTTAAATACCTGTAACTTCCCTTTCTTGGTTTTCCTTACACTATATTTGTTGAATAACTCAGGCCATTTGACCTGTGGAGTTTCCCACAGACTGAATTGGCTTATTGCATACTCAGTACAGTTACTACAAGTTCCTCTGTCCTTTATATTTCCTGCAAATTCACAGTGGATCCAGAGGCTTTTATAAATTCAGGTTCATGTCCTTTGGCAAGAATTGGCGGTGGTGTGTTTATTCACAACATTCGTTAAGTTGTAATGATGTCTTGAATTTTTT